GTCAGCTATCACCTGTTTTTTACATTTTATATTAACTTGTGACGTCATTTGGAAGAGCTCAATAGAAATATAAAAGAACTAAAGCTTGTTTGGAAAGCAATTTGACATTCCTGACGTCAGCACTCCGGCAGTCTAACGTATCGCTAATTGCCATTCGCAAATATATTCCAGATACGTATAGTGAACAAGTGAAACGTTCGCGACGTTAAATAATTTTGATATTTGATTTTTATCGTGATGGCTTTTTATAAAAGTGAAGAATTTAGTAAGAAAAATATTAATGATGGAGATGAACGTGTACGGATTCAAGAATGGTCATGATTACGGTCACGACACTATAGAAATGTGAGGTATGTAAGTATATATATATATATATATATATATATATATATATATATATATATATATATATATATATATATATATATATATATATATATATATATATATATATATATATATATATATATATATATATATATATATATATATATAAAATTAATGGGCATTAATTTGCAATAGCACCTCGAACCCACAGTTTTATTATGGAGCCAGATTAAACCAATCAGAATGAGTATTATGTTACAGTAAAAGCCCGAATATTGGTTAAACGTATGGTTACCCACGTAGGAGCCCGAAATATGCAAAAAAGCTAATTCTAATCTAACCTAAACTCACTCCCTCTTTTGCATATTTCGGGCTATTACCTGGGTATTTCTAGGTTTAACCAATATTTGAACTTACGGTGTAAATTTATGAATGGCCCATAAATTTAAATTCGCCGTACAAAAAATAAGTAATAGAGTGTAGATAAAAATAGATAAAAATAAATTAAAATATAGTTCCACGATAATTTAGTTTGCAGCTTGTTTTCATCATACCTAGTAAAAACCCGTCACAACCACTACTCATAGTATGCGTATACCTATGTATTTTTAAACATCATTATGAGATTTAAGTCATAGGTGCCCATAATATGAGTAGCGGTATTGACGGTTTTTTGTTATGATGAAAATGTTGTGTGATATGAAAAAGCAACAAAATATATTATCGATTGCAGCAACTATACCTAGTTTACATTCAGTATGTCCAATTAATATAGAACATTATACCTATGCATGCTTTTAAAAATTTACTATTATATTTTGATAGTTGAGTTTTTGAAATTATTTGCTAGCTTAAACAAAATAGACCCATAATAATTCAAATCTTTATCATCCAAGACTTTCAAGAATTATAAAGTAATCTCACGTCAAAATTTTTAAAAATTATTGCATGCCTTAAATGTTTGCAAAGTTAACAAAAATATGTCTTTGATTACCTGCAATTAATATATTTGGTCCAATTTATCAGTTCTGCATCATATCCATAATTCAGATTGTGTCTGACACAACGAAGAGTCAACGTGCAACGTGAACGACAAGAAAATGGCAAGTAAAAAAAATTGTAAAGTCTTAATTACTAATTACACAGTCGTTCTCTTGAGTTTTCCTGCCTAAAATCTATGTTGCCTTCCCTAAGATTTTAAATATAAATGATGGAAACTCATACAAGTTTACCACAATTTAAACTTAAGATAATTATTTAATTATTAAATCAATAATTATATTAAAATATAACACTTACAAAGTTACTAAATATTAACTATTTCTACTTAATTTAATAATTCTGATAAAAACACGCTTGATTATTTATTTTAGAAATCATACGGGCTATAATCATTAATATGACTATATTAACAATGCTTAAATCAAAATTTATTTGAAGGAATGCTACTGTATTACAATAATTGTAAAACAAGTATGTAATAATAACTCGGAATAATTATTAAAAACTGCTCATCTTGTTATAGATATCGGCGTCTTGTCTCTATTATTTTATTAGCCGTTTAGCTATAGTTTGATTTCAGGTAATGCAGATTTTAATGTGCCATTTGTGTTTTTTTATTGGAATTATTATTTTTAGCATATTTGGTATACTCTATGAAGTTATTGTAGCATTTTATTTAAATTACACATAATTTATATAAATGTACAGAATTATTTTATTTAAATAAATCAAGTTTAAGTCCTCGCACCGAGATGGCTTTCTAAGTACTGCTATTATCTTTAATTTTTTTCTCCAAGTTTATTTCTGGCGAAATATTTCAGTCCGGTCGAAGTTTGTTGGTCACTTTATATCTGACGGTGTATAGTCGCACTTCGTGCCTACCTTCCCTCGCCATATTCGTGGTAAAGGCTCAAACCGATAGAGCTATCGGCGGTTGTTGGCATTTTGCCAATTTGTTTGAGAAAACCCTCTGAGCAGAGGTAAGACTTTTCTAAGTAACTTTAGTTAAACTTTTCTTTCTAACGTAACGTTTCCTAATACTTTTTTTTGTACAGTGTGTGTTTTATGGTACGCATTTGGTTTAATGGTAGCATTTTCTGGTGCCATTTTGTTTTTTGTACCTGACATTTGGGCCACGTTTTGTCCCTACAATTCACACCGGGAATAACGGAGGAATCTCCTGATTCCACAGCAGTTTTCGATCCTGTCTGTGTGGAGACGTTTCTATCACGATCCAGTTCCAGTAGCAGTTTACCACAACCAGCTTATGACCAGAACGGATAAAAAAGGCCAGATCATTTCTTATTATATAATTTAAGTTCACTTGAATGCATTAAGCCCTTCAAGCATATTATATATTTGATTACTTTAGAGTAACTTTGAAATATTTTATTCATGTTATGCGTATTTCTGATATCTACATAGTACGGTTTTTTAATATAAATATATAATAATATATAATAAATAACCATATAATAAATATATAGAGTCCCTATATTTTGGTACCAAGATCGCCAGACTTTTTGCGGAATAATTAATAAAATATTAATATTCAGAAGCGAGCAGATTTAACTACCATCTTGAGTGATCTATTTTGATACATACTATTTACCAACAAACATTTTCAAACATCAAATTTTTCATAGTCTTATTTTATTCTAATTAACATTTAATTATTAATTATACTTAGTTATTAGTTTATCTCAGCGTTTCATTTGTGTAATTCCTAAAATAAGTAATACCTATATTCTGAGTTGATTTCTCAGTTCTCAACTTAGAAGTTTTCGAAAGTAAATGGAAAACGGAGTGGCGCCCAGTATATTATAAAGACGTAAGTATCACAATTTAATTTTCACTAGCTTACGACCCATTGCTCACCGGCGAACAGCTCCGTTGCATAGTATTAGTCGTTTTAATATTTTTTCTAAAAGAAAACTCTTATAAAAAAAAACATTCCATCATTTTTTTTTAACTTCTAATGCTATATTATTTTTAAGTGCTCCTGTCCGTTTTTCAATTATTAAAGTGCCTTTAGATAAAATTAAAATTAATTAATTGGTGTATAGTATTTGTATTATGGGTTTGTTTATTTTTTATGAAATTATTTTTTTTCCTATTAAAATAAACATAGCTTACTAAATCACTAGCTAGCCATTTTTAAATACAGGATGTTAATTAAGTATCTGGCTAAACTTCAGGAGGTGATTCTTTGAGTGTTTTTAAGGTAAAAAGTTCATATAAACATGTGTCCGGAAATGTATAATTTTAAAGATACAGGGGTGTCAAGGTGTTTTCTAATAGACCTTTTTTATTAATATCTCAAAGATCCGTTGGCTAATTTTGTTGAAATTTCGCCGTGTTGTGAAATTTAATAAGTTAGCACTAATTAAATGATAATTATTATTTACAACAATATTTAAACGATAAAAACTTATCCCAATAAATATTTGGCACCGCCTTGTATTCATTTGTTTTACGTTGGCGGTAGAAACCATGCAAGCTTTTTCTTTGTCCTAAGTTGTTAACTAAAAAAATAATTATCATATAAAAAATGTAGGTCCTAATAGCCTAAATTTTATCAAAATATATCAGCAGATCCGATGAGACCCGAATTATTATATGTTAGCGAACTTAATGATTTAATTAATTATTCCCTTTAATGCATCGATTGTGCGCATTATCCTAAGCGCCAAGAAAAAATATTGCATTAGTCTAAATTTATTATTTATGTTATTCCGCTCTTTCACGTATAATGTGCCCCCTGCTTCTCATACGGAAAGAGTTAGATTAAAATAGCCCAACTGTACCTACCAACCCATGCCTTGACGCATATTCTTTTTTATAATAATATCGGCTTTCCCAGACTAAACATCCATATCCATAAAATAGTTGGCCCACACTAATAAGACCTCATTTGGGCCCTCGGACGTCCTTGTAGTCAGCTATCGACTTACGTGTTGACAAGTTGATTAGGCAGGTTATTGAACTGCATGTCGCCTCTAGCATGTCGTTTTTTCAAAGATGGGTCCCATATAAACGCGGCCAGAAGTATTTTCAATACTAATAGATCTGTTGGAACCTGCGAAATATTTAAATTACGCAAACAATAAGGGGCTTATCACAATTTGGTGCAAGAAATGCTTACGAAAGACGAACAAAAAATTCTAAATTTTCACAGAATGTCTGTAGAAGACTTTGATATTTATTTTATAGCGAATCGTCAAATATACGGCGGCGTCATGTCGTAAAAATAATCAGGGCCCGTATTCTGTAACTTTGAAAACGCTAAGCGCTTTTAGACGCTCAGCGTATATGACGTTAATTTTCGCTGAGCGCGCATTTAATTAACGATTTCGGTATTCTCGGTGCGCTTAGCGTCTTTACTGATTGCGCTGAGCGCTTTGAAAACGATTGCCTTAATAGATCGTTTTGCTTGTCGAACTGTCAGTGAAAATCGAAAAAATTGTGATTTTGTGCGTTATATTGTTCTTTAGTGAAAATTACTACTTCTTCTATAAATTCCACAATAAGTAATTGATAATTTACGACTTGGCAGCTATAAATATTGTTCAAAACATCGAAAATGCTAAGAAGAGTCTTCAACACTTCCCTCGTATAATAAGAATAATGACATATCCATAGAAAAATAGCTTGACATAACTCAACAATAGGTTATGAAATTCACGTAACATTGACATTTTTCATTGTTTTATTTACATTTGACTATTAGATACCAGCGAAATTGCGATGCTCTCAATATGTGCTTAACGCGTATCCAGAAAACGATTCACACAGCAACGAGAATACCAAAATCGACTGCTCGGCGTTCCGCTAATCGCATGCTTTCGCTCATCGCTTTGAAAGCGTAACGTTTTTATGTCAGAGTTCCGCAATTCGTGATTCGCAAGTGTATGAAAGGGGCTTAAACCTACCTTAAAGTCGACATTTTTCTTATTTGTTCAAATACGTCACAATTATCAAAGGTGCAAATGAAGGTTTTCAATCTACCAAATATTTCAATTTATTATGTCGATCATACCTATATTTGGAAGGTGCTAATCAAAGGATCTGTCATTCTCTGTTCATTCTGTCAATTTATTATTTGACACCCAGATTTTGTGTACTATTTTACATTAAAAATGACGAAAAAAAGAATTGATGAGGTATTTTTTCTGCTATTTTGTGAGAAAAATTCCGATGGAACAAAACATTTAAGACTATTGGGTAGAGAACTCTATCAGCGAGTAGGCAAAAGACTGGAACCTGAGGATATGTTAGAGCTTTCTAATTTTTTAACAAAATATCCTGAAGTTAAATCTGTGGATCTTGCATACAATAACATTGGAGATTATGGAATAGAAATTTTAGCCGAGAATTATTTTAGTCAGGCAAATAATTTGGAATATTTAAATGTCATGCATTGTGACATTAATGTAAGAGGAATGATGTTACTATCTGAAGCGAATTACTTAAATCTAAAAGAACTGAGACTGGTTGGCAATAAATTGGGAAATTATGGAGCACGATACATTGGCCGATTTATAGAAAATTGTACGAGTTTAGAAACATTACATATTGGGGAAACAGATCAAACATTGGAAAGTATTGAATCCTTGTTGATTGTTATTGAGAAAAGTTCATTGAGAAGCGTCGATATTTCCAGAATAATTCCTCAGACTTTTTATTCCAGTTATAGTGATTCAATTCTAGCTGATGACTTAGCAGTACTTTTAAAATTAAATGATACTTTGGAGGTTCTTCAAGTGCAGAAATGTGAATTTGACGGTAAGTAATCTGTGCATGTATCGAATATAGGGAAATTAAAACAACTTTGTTGCACGTCATCAATGACACCATGCGTCGCCTTATGGAGTTTGCTGGTGGTCGTATTATGATGAGCAACCAAAGTTATTTTAATTTCCCTTATACGTATTTTTTTTAAAAGTTGCAACCCCCTTTTTAATTTACAGAGTAAATCAACGATAAAGACCATTGTCTCGATTGTTTTGGGAATTATGATTTTTTTAAATACTTAGAATAGTTTTAGAGAATGTAACGGTGTACCATTTAAAATTAATTTTATGATACAGGGTGCTCCAAAGAAGTGTTGCAGATATAACATGTGTTTTATTTAAATGTACCACCTTATTTTTAATTTTATTTCTGCGCAAATGTTAAGTATCAATTGGATTTCCAAGCCAGACTTGATCTTTTGAGTGAATTTTTAAAAAATCATTTTTAAAAAATTATAGATTATTTTTTGGTCTATCTAATAGGATAAAAATTCGAAATGGCGGCCATAAGAAAACAAAAACTTGACTGTTGTTGTGCGAAATCTGGAAGGCTTAGAAATTTTCTGAAAACGGCATTTATTTGGCCGAGGTCAAAAATATAAAACTACCAACTTACGTTGCAATACATACAATAGTTCTGAAGATATTGTCATTTAAAATAAACGTATTATTTTAATTTTTTTGCATAAATCCGAAACTAATCAAGATACAGAGGTTTTCTTCATGGGTGTTTGTCAGACTTCTAATTACGCAACTTTTGTGCCATTTAACCGAATTCGTATCTCTCATAGTTACTGAGATGGCAATGTTGAGCATCGAAATTGTCACCACCCTATATACCTTAAAACTAGTAGATTTCCTAATACTAATGTTTATACGATAAATTTTCATCTAATCGATTATCACATTAATTTCATATCTTAAAGAGAAATTTTAAAAGACACTTATGATTTTTTACATAAAATCTCTTATTTTCAGCACAATTTCGCTAATCTAGTGGATAAAACTTGTTTTTTATGTTTTTCATAAGTTTTTTATAAGATATTTGTAGAAATCTTATAGAGTTCGTTATAATTGTAGGTCACGATGTTGAGTTATTGTTGAGTGGATTAAAAGTTCATAGAAACCTTTATATGCTTGATTTATCAGCGAATAGAATTGGAGATCATGGTGTTAATCTTTTGTCCACTTGGCTAAGAACCAGACCACTTTTAATTGCTTTAAATATATCCTCAAATGATATAGGAACTCGCGGAGCACAATCATTGGCACTGGATCTTCCGTTTTCAAGATTACGGTTGTTGGATCTTCATAATAACAGGATAGGCGATCAAGGTACTTGAATAAAATATATGTTGAATTTAATAAGAAAAAAAAATAACTCAAATGCTACTAGGCAATTCATACTTATATATAAGTAGTCTTATGTTTTTGGCGAAAGCTAAGTAAGTCAGACTAAGGTTATGGTAGGGACATAATACGAAGAACTTGAGCTGGGTCTCTAGAGCATCGTAACTTAGACCCTATATGACCTAGGAGGCTGACACTCGGAATGTAGATTTGTACTTTAATATACTTCCTGTATTCAAGTGCAAATAGATATCGTAAGGTTACATGGTATTTTGTATATTATATTTTTTATTTCTTGTTCAATATTCATTGTTTTAGTGTGGGTTAAGAAGTTCAATATTTTGATTGCAAACTGGTAATATCGTTGGAAAATTTTCCAACGATATTACCAACGATTTTTTCACCACTTGGCTGATAAATTAAAATCTACTTTAAATCAATAAATCTCTAAAACTACTGAACGAAAGTACATGATATCTATCTCATTAAAAAGGGAATTGAAATACCTTTCACATGAGCTATTACTCGGCCCCCTTTCCATTTAAGAATGTAGGGGTGGCGCCGCCCCGCCTTGGAGGTTATAGGTGTGAAAGTGATTTTATGATATTTTCTTTTCCCCCTCGAAAACTAAATCGACGTGTCCGGGCGTTTTTCCAAATTTTAATTTTAAACGAGAAAAATTGGGGTGGAAAGTTTCTATTGGCCCACCCTGTATAGGTACCCATAAAATATTTTGTTTACATCTTTCCGTTTTCGTATAATCAACCGAGGCGAATGAGGTGCGCCACCCTGTATATGGAGGCTAGAGAACCATATTTTTTAATTTTATGGATAATAATAAAAGGTGTTTTGCATAACTTTTGTCTAAAATTCGTTCTTACTGTGTGTTGAGTGGGGAGTTACCATTACTATCATTTCTAATGTATTTATTATTTCAAAATTGATATTTATTTGATTTTCTTTTATTTAAGGCATATCAGATATCATAGACACCTTGAAGAAATCTGTTCAAATACGTATGCTCTTTATTTGGGGTAATGTGCTAAGACACAGATCTTTGAGCAAATTGGATAGAGCAATCAAGGCTGGTGTACTAAATCAGGAATGTGTCGATGTCAGAGTATACGCAGCAGATGGAAAATTAGAAGCAGCATACTATTCAACAAATCGCTATGTTCAGATGTTTTATTCCGTTTCTAGCTATGGATTCCCACCTGAGTTAAAGATTATTAAAAACCAAATAGCCGCACCAGATGCCAAGCCTCGCGCACTTATTGATCTAGATTTTATCGATAGATACCCACCGGTTGACGAAACTTTGACATCCCAAGAAAAAAATGATATTTCGAATATGGATTTGGAAAGAGAACATAGCAATAATAAATGTGTCTAGTAAACATTAATATTTTTATTTTGCTTAAATAGTATGAACAAAATATTCTCATCCGTTGTGATTTCACTTGCAATCGATAAGATATTGAGGAAAGTACTATGTTTTTTTATTACATTGTTTTAAAATAAATAGAGCATGCCAAATTTTCTAAAACTGTTAAGATTAAGGAAGTATCTCAATTTAACTTACTTAAAAATGGTAAAACGATTATACCTAATGTATTGAAATAGAAATTATCACTTAGGTGGTCGTAATTTTTCAAGTAGGTTAGATTGGGTACGGTTGCAAGAAATACAGGGTCCGGCAATAGTGCGTCGGCCATCTGTAGCTCTTAGAATAAAAAACTTGGGAATTTTGTTTAAGTGCAAACCTAAATTATGTACTAGGATGTAATTCACGAAGATATTATAACTTCTATCGGGTGCTCAAAAAAGTGTGAGTGGTATATAATATATAAGTGGGTATAATTTTTTTTAAATGGAACACCCTGTATATTATTGCATTTTTGACTTCCTTTCAGATCACTTTACATATTATATATTTATGATTCTGGACCGTGCAACCGATAGCTGTCGTCTGTCATATCGGTAACAACAATAAACTAAATTAAGAAAAGTTTATATAAACTACAGTATACACTCTTCTAATCCTTCGTGGGCAATTATATCGTAATATTAGCTTTAATTATTATTAGTATTCATCTTGTTCATCAGGGCAAAATAGGAATAAGAAGCTTTAACTATCTAAAAATAAAGTACTTTAAATTTCTGGTCGAATATTTTAAAGTTAATTTACCGAAACGAAGGTACCAAGCGACAGTTCAAAGAAGTTTCCACAATAAAATTTCATTGGTTTCTGAGATCGTAGAATAATCATACCTAGCATAAGTTTTATTGAGGACGTGGAATTTAGCCAGTCACATTCATAAGCGGCTGTTGATATATTTTCACTCTGAAATTTAAAAAAACTACGTTATATCGCGAATGTTTTTCAATAATGGCTCTGCTCAACTCTATAACTTTTTTAGTTATAGAGTTGAGCGTTAGTTATATGACATAAATTGGGATTGATTGCCGTATTTAATTACTTTCGGTCACTTCCTGTTTCACTAGAAATGACTACAACCTTTGATTTTTAAATGGTACCTTCCGTATTTTTTTACTTTATATGATATAAAATGGCATTCTGACAGAATGACATATCATGTGTAAACTACTGAAATTTTAATTAAAAAAAATTGCGTTTTAAATTTCAATCTAGAGTGCCATGGTTGTGTTGTTTATTATGATGATTGGTCATTAATTTTCTAATAAGCTCTGGAAAACAGATTTGATCGTCTAATGTTTTTTGTGTCTGTCTGGCCGCGCGGTTCAAAGATGCCTAAATCGTTTTTAATCATAACTCACACAATTTTTAAATGGGAGTTTTATTTTTAATTTAGAAAAAGATACTAAAAAGTCAAATAACTTGGCTACACACTGCTTAAATAATCATCAAAATCGGCCCATTAAAATAAAATATATTAGCCTTTAAAATACATCAAAGGTTTAAGGTGCCCATTTTTCGTGCCGGTGGATGTATTTCAAAAACTATTCATTTTAGTCATATACTTTTGTAATGAAACAAACCTTTATTTTTTTACTAGAATCCAAAAATCAATTAATATAATAAAATAAATAGGGTGTTCTATTACAAAATAGGGTGTTCCATTACAAAAAACATAACTTTGATGTGTAACTTTTTTTGGGGACACCATGTAGAACTCTACATAATTTTAGAAAATACTTTAAATTGACTTACATAAGCTCAGAAAAGTTCACTTCAATACAAACTTTTGTACTCCTTGCAAAAACCGCGTCGTATATGACGCTCCACCCTGTATAATTCGATTTCAATCAAAATTTCAATGATTAGAATATAAGCAGAATAGGTATAGCTTATGTATTAGATTTATTTATTTCAATAAATTTACTTAGAAAAAGAATTAAAAAAATCAAAATATTAAGAAGGAAATAATTAAGAATTTACTAAAATAAAAAATTTAAAGCAACTAATAAAAATGGGTAAACATTTTAATATTTTATCTATAAAACACAATACCGAAGTTTTCACATTAATACATTCACAGTAATTGAATTCCGAGGTAAAAGTCTCTGGGCACTCCACTATATATTTTAAATAATTTGTGAATAGATGGTCCCGATAAAAATTCAGTTTTGTTTATACTGTCTTGTACATAAAAATTAACATAGCGATATAATATGCTAAATCGCACGTTTGCGGATATACAGGGTGGCCCATCGAAAACGTTCCGCAAGGCATAACGGCCAGGGTAATTTTTTTTCAGAAAATCCAAAAACACGTCAATTTTGTTTGTGAGGGGGAAACTTTTGCCCCAAAAATGATTGCAAAATCTTCAACCCTCTAAGCGGGGGTGTCATCCCCCAACTTTTTTCAAATGGGAAGGGGGGTCAAGTGGCGCCGCAAAGAAAAAAGCTTTTTATTCTCTATATTTTCCCGCTTCGTGTTTGAAAACCGGTAGAGTCATTGAGAAAATATGAAGGATTGAAATTTGAAAAGTTTATTTAAACATTTATCAGAGTAAATGATAAGAATAAATTCCTTCGACCAATTTGCTGTTGTTTTCTTATTATTTCTAGATGTTTACGCATGTTTTCACTTGCCACAAGGTTGAACGATCAGGTGCGGTAGTTGCTAGATAGCTGTTCTGTGACTTGTGCGTTGAACTTCTTCTCAATATCGTTAAACTTTTTAACAGTTATGATGTACTCACTTGCAGAAAAAGTGAAAATAATCGAACTTTATTTTAAAAATAATGAATGTGGCAATCGGGTTGCGCCGATATTCAATGAACGCCATCCTGACAAACACCTTTATGGCAAAATTGTTCGCGAGTTAGTAGCAACATTTCGTGAAACTGGTTCCGTTATGAATAAAAAGAGGCAGAGGGAAAATCCTGTAGTAAATGAAGCTATGGAGGTATTCGTATTGGGCCAAGTTGCCATGGATAGTATGCTGAGTACAAGAAAATTAGCCAATGAGACCGGCGTGAATCGTACAAGTGTCCAAAGGATATTAAAAAAAACACACAAGTTCCACCCGTACGAAATTCAGTTGTTCTTGTACAAGAACTCAACGAAGACAATTTTGATCGTCGCGGTCTGGTATTTTTGGAAATTCTATTGTGGGTCTGTTTAACGATAGTGAGACCGCACCTGATCGTTCAACCTTGTGGCAAGTGATTTTTCACATATGGACTTGGACAATTGTAAAATATCAACTTATACAATTTATTCATAAAAAATGGAGTTGGTAAATATTTTCTTTCATTTTAAACATATTATTGTTAAAAAACTAAATTATTGAAAATTTGGTCTTGGTCACTTTCTCTTGTATACCAAAGAAATACCCTGGCCATTATGCCTTGCGGAACGTTTTCGATGAGTCACCCTGTATAACCATTTCCGCACCTTAGTGATTAAAGGTTAGAGTACATCAAAATTATACATTCCCCTTTTTTCGTACGGTTAGTGTATATAATGCTTTTTGCTTTTTATTATTCTCTGTGATTATATTATTATATTCTTTTAATATAATTACTTACCTTCTTATTTAATTCTGTAGCAAACCAGGAAGGTACTAGAAGTAAAATTGCTTGAGCCATAGCGTATATTAATAGGTCAATAAGTTCAATACTCATGTCAGTCTGAAATGGATAAAATTGGTGAAGTTGAAAATTAAATGTTTTACAGCACAACATATGCCGGGTGCGTCAAAAGTGGCTCACCCCTATAACTTTTATATTTTTTTTAAGTAAAAAACGAGATTTGGTATGTTAATATAAGACATAAATTAGGATTGATTGACGTATTCAATTGTTTTCGGTCACTTCCTGTTTCACCGGAAATGATTAAAACCTTTGATTTTTAAATTGCATACCCTCGGTATTTTTTTACTTTGTTCGATAGAAAATAACACTCTGAATAGAATAACATATGTCAACTTTTGACATTTTCGCATATGGTTTATTTAAAATTATAACTTGCAGTTCGTAACGAAAATTTGACTCGAAATACCAAGTGTGTCGATCAAATTATTCGTACAAAATGCATTTTCGAAATATGCTAATGAGCCACCATCGTTCCATTTGAAAAAATCGAGATATTATTAAAAATATGATTTGAGCAATTTTTAACTAGCCAGGACAAGACATTAAAGATATTAGACGATCAAATCTATTTTTCTAAAGTTCCTTGATTAAGAATTAGTGTTTTTAACATAGCCATGGCACTCTAGATTGAATTTTAAAATACGATTTCTTATTAAGCGAGAATGTCAAAAGTTGACATATGATATGTCGTTCTATTCAGAATGTCATTTTCTAGCGAACAAAGTAAAAAAATACCGAGGGTACCATTTAAAAATCAAAAGTTGTAGTCATTTCCGGTGAAACAGGAAGTGACCAAAAACAAATGAATACGTCAATCAATCCTAATTTATGTCGTATATTAACATACCAAATCTCGTTTTTTTATCTGAAAAAATAAAAAAGTTATAGGTGTGATAATAAATGATAAGGATTTTGTGGTTTCATTCTCTGCACAATGATTAATAGCTTATTCAGCTACAAGATGTCGTGAAGATGTTGCTTGAGGAGTGAAGTTTTTTATTCAATTTTGTTTAATATAATGTTTATAATAATACGAGCCCTAACAATTAAATGTTCGGACAAACAAAAATTTATTAAAAACCTTTATTTTCATTAACTGAATTATTTACATTTAGGAAATACATTAAAAATATATTAAAATCTAACATTTCTAATGAGTATTTAAATAGTTTAGTTTCTATAAACATTAAAATAAAGTGTAGGCCAATAAATAAACAAAAATATTGCACAATATCGTGACAACTAAATGTTCGGACACTTTAAAAAATAACTGTTCTAATATGGCGTTACATCGGCATGAACTTTTACAACAACTGCAAGCCTGTTT